TTTATCCAATAAAATATGAGATATTTATAATCCAATAATATTAAATGTTATAACGAAAGGTCATTATACAACACTATCACTATAAGAACAGTAACAATATTGTTAAAAAACTAGAATAATAATAAATATGAACTAATTCAACAAAATTTTGTTAAATTTATTATTAAAATAATTAATTATTTCATATACATATTACAAAGTTCAGATTTTTAAAAGTTATTACAATTATTAAATGCAAATTTTGAAATACAATCAAATTTCTCTATAGTTATCACTCTTAGAAAAGCAAAATTTGGTAAGATATGATTACAAAGATGTTTTTTTATTATATTTATATATAAATGGAAAAGCAAAATAAAGTAATTATAAAGAAATATGACTTAAACAGGTGTGATTATAAAAGGATTTGACAACAAAATAATAAAATTCTTAATTACAAAAGGATATAATTGAAGTCATGATCAACTTAAAAGTTTGCTTCAAGCTAATTCTATTTTTGTAAGTTTTATGATCAATTTTTGGACATTTTGAAGTAATTATGGTTATATTGGAATTACTTGCACATGGGTTAGTAACAATATGATATGTAAAGTATTGCTTGATTTAAAACAAGTGTCATATCCGCATACTGCGAACCAGCCAGAATTATTATAACTCTATCGATTTCTTCATAGTGCTGGGTAAAATTTTCGAACCATGCACGTGATTTTTATTATCTATTCAGAGAATTTTATTATATTTGTTCTTTTTAACAAGTATTCAATTTTTGGGTGTTGCTGATTCAAGAATACATGAATAAATAAAATAAATTTGTTGTTAATCCTTCTTTACATGATTAGGATACCCATCTCCTCCTGTCCCCTTATTTCCTGATATCTTTGTGCCCCAACCAGAAAAAAGTCCAGGCGCACTATTCAGTTTCCATTCTTTCTTTTCGCCATTCGAATTCCCTAGTATAAACGACCGCTTGGTTTTAAGCTTATTACTACCATTATTACTGTGCTTGTGACTGCTGTCGTCTGATGTCATAACGACAATTGGTGGTAGCAATGGCTGGTCATGATTTTTTTTCGTTATAGAAGAATCGGGAGAAAAAAAAGAATTTTGTGCTAATGAATCATTGAACTCAAGAATAGTATTCAGCTTTGGTGTATCGTTATTATTACTATTATCATTACTATTATTACTATAATCATCATCATCATCATCATCATTATTATTATCATTATTCTTGTCATCGTGATATGAAAGTGTCTTTGGTACGGTTTTTCTTGAGAATGATGAAATACCGGAATTCAAAGATTCTGGTATCGATAACTTCCCTTTCAAAGGTTGAGGATCTACTTTGTTAGAGCTTTCCTTTGTCACAAACGAATTTGTTTCTATGCTATATGCTAACGGTGGTGTTGTCTTTAAATCTTCTGGCTTCATTTCATTCTCATTAAAAATCTCGTGGCTATTGTTATCAGCTTCATCAGGTATTAATGTCGGACGTCTAATTGGAAAAGGTAAAGTTGGTGGCAATAAATGTGGTGCACTAGATCTCGACAGAGGTTCTTCCATATCGCTATTATTTATGTTTTGTAAGTTGTGATGTTTAGTCGGAGAGTACGCATGGGATCGTACAGCCGCTTTCAAGTTTGAAAAGAACCCATAAGTTGTATTTGACATCGAGTTCGGCGACGATTCGGATTGATGATGCTCAAGGATGGTTGGTGTAGTTTCATAAGAAATGTCATCGTTTACTATGCTATTGATACCAAGAATAAATTAGTGAATAATTGAAGAGGTGTCGTCTATTTTCTCCAAGTGTATAATCATACCCAAGGTTTGCGTCAAACGCTGTAACTCTACTATTCTCATCTTGGCACATTTGATGCCAAGTTTTCATATGCTGTCCGTAATATCGAGTCGCATAAGGTGTTGTCGTGGAAGAAGAAGATGATGATTTGGATTTATCTATACATAATTCGTAGACACGATGAAATATTGAGGATATCAACAAAAAGACCAACGATAACAAGTTTGTCTTACCTTGATAAGGCAAATCCAATGAATAAAATGACTCTTCTTGTACCACCGAAGAAGTTGCAGAAGTTGAAGAATATCGACGATGAACTTTCATAAAATCTTTAGACGACCATGATGATTTTCTTATTATCTCCCTCGAGTCGTCTGAGGGTCCAAAAAAATTCATGACATCATCTGGTAATTGGTAACTTTTCAGATCCACAGTTTTTGTCGTGTTCAACGAGAGTTGATTAGAATTACTAGACTCGCTCACTACTCCATTATTATTTATTTCATCAATCTCTTTTACCATCTGATCAATATCACCAGTTGTGTTTGATCGACTTCGCTTATGACCCATTTTCAATTCAAATTTTTGTGTTGGCATTACTGCTACATTAGTGTTTGTTGTTCTATTAGGATTATTTATCATATCTATTAAATGTTCAATTTCACTTGTGAAGTTCTTGATTGGCAGTAGCGTTTCGGGAAGATACATTCTAGAAAGCGGCGGCGCAGATCTAGAAGCATGAAAACATCCTAAATCGTCGTCGTTGACAGACAAGGACAATTTTCCGTCTCGTGGTCTTTGTTCATGAGCAATCCCATCTGCACTACTAGTAAATCTATTATTCCCTCCAATGATTGGTTGTTGCTCAGACCCAAAAGGACTCACAGCTTTAATAGTCGGCAAAACAAATTCATTTTGTCTTATGTCATTGGCGGCATCAATATTTAACGGAGGAAGTGTAATCCAGTTTTTATTATTGGATTTTGTTCTATCAATAGTAATCGGCTCGATTTGCTGTTCTATTTTCTCCTGTTTTTGTAATTCTTCGGCTTTACTCCACGAGTATCTTGTATTTTTTTTGTCGTATGGCACTGGAGTAACGCCTTGTGCTAGTTTTCGCAATGCAGAGAAATCATTCTTTCGTTTTTTTTCGATTACTTTCGTTGCCGTGATCATTGATTTTTCTTCTAGACACAAGGAATCTACTACTAGATTAGCTTCTGCAAAGTAAGGATGCTTTAACGCGTCAAGTGCAGTGAGACGGTTTCTTGGATTATAACGTAATAAATTATTGATCATTTGTAGTAATGATTCTGAAGTAGTTAATGGAAACCTTTTTGAGAGTGGTTGAGGAGGAGTCTAATAAATAGACGCGATTACGTAACAACAATTAGAGAAGTTATTTTTTAAATCATTAACATAAATAAATCAAATTAGCTCACCGATGGGAAGACAAATCCTACACTCTTTGCCAATTTTAAGCCTTCTTTCCATTCACCACCTCCCACAGTGTCAATCTGGCCCGAAACATCATCTATACAAGTACTACTAGGATTCCCTAATAAAGCACATATTTTGAACATTTGATCAATCTCACTTTGGCCAGGGAAAAGCGGTTTCAGTGTATACAATTCAGCCATAATAGCACCGATTGCCCATAGATCTATCGGTGCAGAGTAACTAGTAGATCTTAGGAGAACTTCTGGCGCGCGATACCTAATTTATTTAATTACAAATATTAATTTCTTGACCTGAACATTTTTTGTGTTTGCTATTATTCAGAATTTATTCTTAATTATTCTTAATACAAACTCAATATAATAGTAAGCTCACCATCGCGTACTAACATAGTCTGTATAAGGTGGCCTTGACTTTATTTCTCTGGCCAAACCGAAATCGCCAATTTTCACAATATATTCAATATTATCATCATCATCTTTATTGTCAATTTTGGCAGTATTATTTTTGTTTGACTGAACTTGAGCTGATGATGATGAAAATTTATGCTGTTGATAATGAGGCTGGTGATTGTCATAGCATAATAATGTCGACATGTCCTCGTGATGATAATGTAATAAATGATTTTCTTCTACATGTAACAGTGAACAATTAATAATATTACTGCCACTATTTTCTTGCTGCGGCATCGTCCTTGTCATTGTCGAGATTAAAATATTTTCTGGTTTTAGGTCGCGATGAAAAAGGCCACACGAATGGATATGATGCACTCCTTGCAGAACTTGAAACCTTTGATGAGGAGGATATTATTGATGAAGTGATGTTTTTGCGCAAATGAATAAATTCTATGATTTTTTCTGTATACAATACAAATAATACAACACAAGTGAAAATAAGAGTTTTGAGCAGCCTTCGCGTGGAAGCGGCAGCCCAACAACAAAAAACCATGTGACAATAATAATTACAATTAAATAATATTAGGAAAAAATACATACATGATTGATTGAAAGACCCGTTCGCTAAAAAGCCTGCTTTTCCGGTCTTTGATGATTTGGTAGAGATTCAATTGCATAAATTCAAATACAAAATATAATTCACGTGTCTGAGGAATCAAAAAGGCTTCTAGAAGTCCAATGACGTTAGAATGCGATGGCAGGCACCTCAAAGTCTATTATTTCATATGAGAGAGAATAGAAGAGATCAAACAAAGATCGAAGGAAAAGTAATAATATAAATAGAAAGACATGAAAAGAACGTAGTTGTTGCGTAATTACCTTAAATTCCCGTAACTCACATGCCTTTTCCCAAGATGAAATCTTCTTTTTCATCTTTTTAACGGCCACCTGATCATTTTACAAGAAGTAGCAGTTGGGAAATGATAAGGAAATAGTTCTTGTGCCGGAAACACAGATGACGCGTTTTTTTGGGTATAGGATTTAAATTTGAAGGTTTATATAAAGTCATTTTAAGAGATCACACGTCAAACAGTACACACTTCTTTTACTCGCTATCTCCATTCCCGCCTTTCAAAAGAGGCAAGCAAGGAAAAAACAGGCTCCTTTAAAAAACTTCAAGTATGTCTACCAAAAAGTGGTCAAAACTCACCAGTTGGCCTGTACTCTTGTGTTGTGCTTGAAGGACAACACCAAAAGACCCATTACCCACTTCTTTTATCAACTCGTAATCTTCCATTTAAATGAGTATAAGTGAAATGATATGAATAGAAGTTCCTTAAAAGCGAAGCAAAGTAAGAAATATAATACAACAGCAACGACAGTAGATCTAAAAGTGCGATCCGGATTGATCAGGTGTCAAATTTTCTAATTCAAAACTTCATTTTTCAACGCACTGGCCGAGCTCACCCACGATCGATTTTCCTTCACGTGATTTTCCGATCAGATTTTCCCGGCCACAACAATTACCAGAAACATTCCGTATATGGTTCATGCCATCTATAATCATCAAACAATTTTTATATAATTTGTATAATTTCAAATTGTATCTAATCTTCCA